GGGAAAGAGGGAGGAGCTGCTGAGTTGCACTGCTATGCTTTTGTTGGGCTCTACCCCTTTGATTTAGAATTCCTCACCAGCTCAAATAGCATGAAGCAGACAGCAAGCCCTGCGTAGTCTCATCACACCTTCTGCTGAGTCAATTAAAGCATGGATTGAAAGAGGTTTTTTTCCCCATGTTGTTTATAAACCTATAACTAATTTTCTACATGAATCATATAAGGAAATATACTAAGGAGGCAACACAAACCAAATACAGACTTATTTAAGTCATAACCAGGCAGCATCGGACTGTACGCCGATCAGTTAATTCCCTTATAAGCTTTTAGACTACACATAGTATTGCTATGTGACCAAAGGCCAGCCACATGTAAGTTTAATGGTCAATCAAGTTTAATGAGTCATTATAGAGGTAACATCATATGTGAGGTACATTTGGAATAAAAATACATGATTATGGAACAAGTACACAAGAGGAGTGTTTTTTTTTCTTTTTCTTTTAATCTCCATTTCCTCTTTCATTATGAAGACCTCAAACATATATAGCTGTTATGGGGAGGCAGGAACTGTCAGAGGCAACAAAACAGGAATTTGAATAAGAGAAAGAGTAAGAATAAAAGGTCACAATACCAAAGGAAGATGCAATTAATACTAAGGCTTTACTTACTAGATTGCAATTTTCTTCTCCAATTCTGGTATTTATTTGATGAAGAGGAACGAAAACTATTGGCTCTCTGTAGCGCTACAGAGGAATGAGACATTATTAACTAACTAAAACTGATAATTTCAAGGCTAAAATAAGCTTTGTATAAAATTGTAAGACAGTATTATTGCCATTAGAGAAGCTAATGTATGAAAGAGGCAGAGAGAGAATACATAAGACATGTTCCCATCTCCTTTCTGGAGCCTCGGGTTTTTTTGCCCAGGGCAACCTGCGCCCCAATTCTGTTTCCTTGCTATTATCTTTGTGAAGTAAAAGCCTAGCAAGACATACACATAAGTGAAAATTAAAATTGAGGAACAATTGCTATTGCTACCCCACTCTTCTCCCCCCTTCCATGAGGATTCTGACTTCTTCCTACTGGGCAACACACACTACGGACCCATGGCAGAGTGTCCCAATGCTGTCCCATGAAGAAAATAGTTTTCTCCCATGAGGACAGCAGGGTTTCCCACAGGGCATTTTGCCATGTAAAATCATGAATTCGTATTGGTGACTATTGCTCTGAGCATTTGGTGCGGAGGCAGGTACACTTGAAAAAAGTGTGGTCTTTTGTCACTAGAGGGCAACACTCATCAACAATTGGTACCCACAAAGCTAATTCAGAGAGTCATAGATTCTAAGGCCAGAAGGGACCATCTTGGTCATCCATTATGACCAATAACTCCTGCCCCAGGATGTCCCCAAATAACTCCCTGCGTGAACTAAATTATATCTTTTGGGGGGGGGGGGGAATCCAATTTTTGTTCCTTAAAACCACGTTTGGTTTATGTGCTCTTTCAGATGGAACAGTTAACATTTACTGAATTGTATACATCTCAGAAGGCCTTTTTTACTGATCAGTTCATTCTAAAATGTGGTCATTTTTTTTCTCTTGATCATGTGCTTGTGTATTTAACATCAAAGGAAAAAAATCTCACAGTCCAAACAGAAGCTTATTCAAAAACATAAACAAAACTGGTTATCAAACATCCAGAGATATTCTCAAAAAACAGTAAAACTTAAGTCTGTGTCAGCCCCACTTCTCAGATGAATAAGCACAGGAGGAGGGATACCAGGGGGATACCAGGAAAGAGAGAGAACTGAGATGGCAGACTTGAAACAAAAATGAAGGTGGGAGATGATATTAGTCAAGAACTTGTATTGGAGGATGAAGTGATAAGGGATAAGATGCTAATGGAAAGATGCCTGGTGGCAGTGAAGTGGTAGAGAGGAGCATAACTTTAGAAGCAGTGATTTGTATTAAAAGGAGTCAGGGAATAGGGATAATCTGTGGTCATATGCTTCTGGACATGCATTGTGATTCTTTGTTGCACCAAACAATGGACTCTTTATTATTAAAAAGCAACTTAACAAGGCACACAAGATCCTCTTACTTTTGAATCTAGATCAAAATGCAGTTGTGTTTTGGGTTTGTTTGTTTGTTGTTTTACAAAATTACCTCCATGCGAGTTCACTGTCATCATACCAAATACTGCCAGAATTCACATCAAATAAAAGAATAGCAAAATGTGTTAGTTCCACATAATATTCCTCTCAGAAACCATAAAAGGTATCCAAAGCTCACAGCACATCTCAGACTAAAGAATCCAGTTATTTGGGAACTACACAGTGCTCTTACTTAACAGTATACTCTGTCAAGAATCCCATTGATATTATTGTTCTTAATTAATTCACATATTTTAAATATACAGTTAAGTTGAAAAAATATTTTGAAATCCAGGGGCATTAACAGATTTTATCTTCTTCTAAGAAGTTTTGGAGACTGCTTTTGCATTAAAACAACAGACCAAGTTAATATAAGAACAGCTTCATGAACAGGAGCAGGTCCAGAGCTGATACAGCTGTGCAGTCCCACCCCCTTTTTGGACCACACCATGTGAGCAGCAGCTGGGGACTTAAAAAAAAATTCCCCCTTCCCTTCCTCACCATGCTCAACAGCAATGCTCCTCATCTCTCATTTGCCTCCTTCCCAGCCTGCTGTTTCCACTGTCCCTAGTTGCCCTAAGGGCAGGGGGAGCTCCAGAGCCACTTCTGCCCCACTCCAGCCAGACTGTACAAGTTCCTCCTCCTTAGCTAGTGCCCCTGGGGGTTTCCTGCCAGCCCAGGAGCAAGCATAAGGAGGAATGCCCTGCCACTATTCTCAGTTGAGCCTGGGTCCTTGCACAGCCCAACTGGAGTGGGGCAGGCATAGCTCTAGAGCCTCTCCCACCTCCAGGGCAGCCAGAGACAGCAGCACCAGTAAATGAGGGAGGGATGGAGAAAATGGGAGGGGCAGGGACATGCTGCAAAGCACAATAGAGAAGGGAAGGGATATTAAGAGTGAGGGATCTTACCTGATTCAGAGACTTATAAAAAGTCCCTGGCTTCTGTCCCCACAGAGTGGCCTAGTTGTGGTGGGCAGTGGGAAGCTGGGAGCTGTGGTAAAGCCACCCCTACTGTGCTGGTCACTGCTCCCATGCACCTTTTTACAAAATTCTAGATCAACTGTGGTCATGACCACAGTTATGATGCAGACTTGTCTGGTTCACATAAATTAAATAGTGATAAATCCAAGTAATAGTAGCAAAAACATAATCAGACAAGTCTTTTATTATGGTGAATATCTAGTCTGAATGGCTGTGTGGCCAGTTCAAGAGTTCTGGTAGTTTTGAGTAGGATCTTTAGCATATTCCATCTCAGTCTTGTCTTGCTTTGTGGCTCTTTTACTGTGTTTTCTTCTTCCCTCCTTTATTTTAAGGATTGTTTTCTTATTCCCTCTAATTCTATCTGTTCATAATCCTCTTTCTCTGCTACGATTTTTTGCTCAGCCCATTGGAAAAGTATAGCTTATCTCAAATCTATTCTGAGCCACCAGCCACTGCAACTAAACCTTTTTTTTAAGGCCAAGTTACTGACTGAGGCCTAAATTATCCAGTCTTCACGTAAAACACCCACTAAATCGTTTTCTTGCTTCATCTCTTCTGAATATTTTGCTCAACATTACAGCCAAGGACCCTGTGGATGCACCTACCCCTTGCCCTACAGTGATGTAGCAATCACGCACTTGCCAACTACATTGTTGTAGCAGTGCACTGCCCAGCTATAGCATGCTGCTAGTGATGTAATGGGTGAATCTAACCATGCACTGCCTGTACACCACAATATGGGCAGCTACTGTGTTGTGTTTTAGAACTTTTACTTTCCCCAAGCAAGTACTAAAATATGGCGCAGTACCAATGTTGCCATATGGTAACATGTAGACACACTCTGTGTCCCTCAGTGTATATATTCCTGGCTGGCTGCTCTTGGTAATGTTAAGAGCTTGGAAGAAGAGGTTTGAACTTCTCACCATTCTCCTTCCAATGCTTTTTAGAGGCTTCTTTGCACTTTTGCTATTTGCTGGTGTGTAGAAATGATTTAATTCTGGCCTGATTCTATTGCCACGGCTTGAATCAAGTATTTTAAGGCCAACTATCAGCATCCCAACATGCTATCACAGGAAAAATATTAATCTCCCAGTATGAGTTAAGCACAGGATAGAACTGCTTTAGGTACCTCTTGTACTAGCATATTATTTTTTCAGCAGAGCCCTCAGGGTACATAATGTCACTCCTCATATCATGACAGTTTGTATAACAATACCTAGAAACTGTTTAATTAATAATGCTGATTTCCCTGACAGTATGGTTCCACGTTGATACTACTGGGTCATATTTAAATGAAGCAAGGCACGAGGAGGAGAAAGAGAGCATTCTGTTGGATCACATTACAGGATGCAGAAAGCAGACAAGGGGAAGTCTTCCAAAAAATTAAAATGACATTATAGTGTATGAACTTACTGTATCCCTGATAATACTGACAAGATCTATCTGCTCTAATAATGCTCAGAAACAGTGATTGCAGCTAATGGATTAAGTAGCTGGGGCATGACTGGGTTAGGAGTGTTTATTTACAGCGTATTTGCTTACCATCGGCGACTTTAGACTTTTCATGGTATTCCTCTTCTTCCTCAGAACTTCTTGTTGATGATGCATACTTTCTGGGGTTTGTTGAGGATATGGCCTCAGGCAATGAGATCTTTCCTTCACTAACTTCAGAATTAGATGAATCACCATAAAAATCTGATTCTGGCTCCGAACTAAAAGAGAAAAGCCAGATGTTTTAAAAAAAGCATTTGCTATGTATTTAAGCACATAAGTATTTGCTTTAATGCACTAGACTTGAACCACAATGGGTGAGATCCAATGAACTGATGTTTTACAACTGGACTCTAATATTCAGTTATATGAATGCAATCTGCTGCAATTTATGAGGCTAAATTTCAATATCCTATGACATTTCTGATACCCTATTAGCTATGACAAATATAAACAACATTTGAAATCACGTTGTTGCAAGAGAAACTCATTGTGTGTGATACTGGGGGTCTCTTCATCTGAACAAGGTGAATGCATCTTCCAGCAAGCATGCTCTTTGATAAAAGGAAAAGCATTTGCTTTGAACCTCCCTCCGCATCATGTTAGGGATAAGGTACAAGAGTAAAAGTATCTGTATCTGAATAGTGTAAAAAAGTAGATGGTCTAAGAACATTTTAAGGTATGTACGCTTACCCACACATAATAGATCATTTTAAAGGCAGCCTCTAGAATGAGTTCCCTCTGCTCCCTTCCCCCCCACCCCCTTTCTGAAAACAGCAACAGGCTGGCAAGCAGTGCTGATAGAAATTACAGACCTCTGCTTTGAAACGTCTTAATCTGACCCCTCATGCAATGAGAGTTCAGATTTTCACCCAATCAGCCATTTGTTAAGCTATCTGCAGCTGTGTACCTGCGTTTGGTCACAGCTATAAACCGTTTTCTGCAGCCAGGTCAGGCAAAAATTGTCACTTCTGTCTCCGCCCCACGTGAAGCAGATCTCTGCCCGATTTTTACCCGACAAACTAACAGCATGTGCTGAGAACAAACTTTGTGCACATGCATTTTAAACATAAAAAAGCAAAGAAATTGTAATGACATGTCTTTTTTTTTAATAAGTTAAGCCAGGGTGTCACATATATGGAGTTGCTATATCTAGCCTACCAAACTATTACAAGGTGAGGGGTGTAGCCAAGGGAGAGTGATTTACCACAGAATCAAGAGCCCTGAAGGATATAGCAACCAGTGGTAGGAGGATGAGCAAAGGCTGACCCTGTCCTGGTCACCCTCCAGCTGCTTCACGCATTGCCACTGCTGTGGCTCCAGCTCCACAGCTGCCTAGCCTTGCTGCTACCACCCAGTGTCCTAGGCCCCCATGCCCTGTACTAGAGCCATCACTACTGTGTGCTCTGTGCCAGAGCTAGAGCTGGCACCCTAGCAAACAATGTGTGTCAGTGGTAGGACCTCCAGCTCCAGCACAGGGCATGCAACATGTGGTGGGAGCTGGAGCCACCACTGCCACTGTGTGTACCAGGTGAGAGCCAGAACTGCCACTGCTGTTGCCACCCCATGTCCTGAGCTGCATCTGGCTTGCAAGGAGCCCCACAGTCCCATTTGACACCCCTGATTTAAATACATACTATCTTTATTGCTGCTGTGTACCTGTAAGATACCAAAGCAGAACACCAAAACCAGAAAGTCTGCCAGCAGAACATCCAGCATCACACAGATGGCAATGTTAACAGGTTACTGCAAAAGTCAGCAAAACAGGCAAGCTGTTGCTGAATAATGTGCAAACAAAGAAAATCACTTGATGCATAATGAATCACATTGTATGGACAGGAGAAGACAAACAGGGGAGCTGGTACGATGCGAGGATGCTGTTTGTGTGCGTTTAGATGATAAAACAGTTAGTTGCACAACAATGTTCTCTCCAGAGATCACCAGTTGCTCCAAGATCTGCACTTCAGCCTGCATTGAATGTCACTGTATTTAACATCGGTGATATGTTGTTAGTTTGGCAGTATTGTGGCACAAGAGATTTTATTAGCAAGAAAATTGGTGTCCACTTCAAAGGTTGTTGCCACAGAGGCAAAGGAAATTTGCCAAATTGACATACGCCAGCTTTCCTTGAGAAACTGATTACCTCAGGGAGTGCACTCACAAAGCACTACTTCAAATAAGATTCAAAGCTACAACAGTGCAATAGTGTTTGCATTAGTTGGAGTAAACACATACACCAAGAAATCCAGGGCCATACTGCTTAAAAATTCCTGGAGCTGTGTATTGCAGTGTCAGAGCACTATAGCCACAAGGCAGTGCAAGGCTGAGTTACGGTCAGCTTTTTGTAGTAACCCTGAAGAGTCACTCAGTGGGAGGAAGTCAAGGCCTGGAAAGGAAGGCCTATGGCTACATTTATTTGCAGGAGGTGAACGGAATGCTTGAAAGCTGTAATCCATATGTCAGAGCTTACAGAAAACTGCAAGAAGATGAGCAGGAAGAAAATGCCACTGCAGCTACGTAAAACAGAGAACCAACAAATGCTGCTTTTTATTTTAATCTTGACAGCACCTCCAATATATGACATTATAATCCAGTAAGAGTAGTGATAGTTGCAGCAATTTTTGGTTTTGACAACAGTGCTATAAGGGCTAACATGCATCTAGTTGTTTATTCATTAAATCCTAGCCTTACAAATCCTTCCAATTGCACTACAACTATATTGTATTAGAACCAAATGTTGATCAATTAGTGCATCCACGATTATTTCCTCATGATGAGTCCAGCTTTCATGTAGGCTTAGAATACCAAAAAAATGCATCAAGACTGTGACAAAAGTTACTTTGCTTCTGTTTAGTCATATTGCCAGAAGGCCTCAGTTCCACTTATTGCATTCATCTGGCCAACTGACACAGCAGGACTTTGTTGATGTGCATTGTAGGATACAGGGAAATAATTTGCAATGCGCGAGAAAACCAAGCTGTACTCCATGTGGACACTTACATGGGGTTGGCAGATGCACTGCAAAAGAAGAAAGTGAAGGTCTAAAAACAGAAAGCATTGTAATTTTACCCTTGACATTTATTGGCAGTTCAAGGAATATGCAAAACTGCCAAGATGCTATGGCCATGGTGCAGAAATTTGGTAAACCAGACCTATTCATCACTTTTACTTGCAATCCTAAAGAATGCAAGATCACTGCCAGACTCCAGCTTTACTAAAGAGTGGAACACAGTCCTGATGTTATGGCTGCACTGTTCCACACAAAAGTACAGGAACTCATCAGAATGATCACTGAATCAAGGTATACGGTGTTGGTGGTGACGTTAAATTGTTCATGCACATTACCAAGTTTCAGAAAAGAGATCTGCTACGTTGATATGGTAAGCTATATGTTGCATTGTCAATAGCGAGTGAGTGAGTGAGTGAAAATATTTAACAACCTGAAAAGCAAATTATATACACAAATGATGAAATAATATTACCAAGCATGGAAGATGTTTACGTAAAAAATGTGGTATTCCACAAAATCATCCAATTAATTTCCTAATTATAATATGCCCTTTCAAGAGAGAGACTGTTTATCTCCCCTTTATTACCTGCAGAAGAATTGATCTGCTTATGTTTGGTTTAAATCATGCATTTAAACACTTCTGAAGCTATCTTGACTTCAGTAAGTGATTTCAAAAGGTAAGTGGATTATTTAATTTATTTTTAACCCCAGTTTTGGCCTAGGATTCTGTGGATATATTTTCTGTGGCTATCTCTCTCAGTGGGAGGAAGTCAAGACCTGGAAAGGAAGTCCTTTATATATTTTTATATATATATTAGCTGTATGATAAAGTTGAAGTGAATTGAAAACATGCTATAGGCTGGGCCAGATTTTCAGGCAGAACTGATATGTTTCAGTTTACTGAAGATTTCAAGAGTTTTTCATATGAACTTTATGCAAATTTGACATATAATTTGGATAAAGATTAATAGGAAAATCAAAAGAGAGCCAAAAGTTAAAACGAAAAGCTGTGACACTGAAAGAAAGAAGAGAAGGAGCCAGAACAAATGACATGACCTTGAGTTGGTCAGAAGTATGATGTGTTGGATTGTGTGTTACAACTTGGAGCATCTTTTAGCTTTAACCTTTTAGAGAGTTCACAGGTGGCAAAGAAATTCAGTGCAAGAGTTATTTCAGAAAGTCTTATGTATAAAGCAAACATACAACCCCAATAAACATTTTTAGCAACAACAACAAAAAATCACTGGGTACACCATTTGTCATATAGAATCATAGTATAGTAGGGCGGGAAGGGACCTCAGGAAGTCATCTAGAACAGCCACCTCCTCAAGGCAGGATCATTCCTGCCAAAAGGATCCCAGTCCAGTGTCCATCTAACCTGCCCTTTAAAACATGGATGGAGATTCCACAAACTTTCTGTTGTCTAATGCTTACCCACCTTTATAATGAGAAATGTCTTCCTATTATCCAGTAGGACTGTGCAAAATTTCACCAGCTGTTTTGTTTAGACACTGTTTTGACTCATTTTGAGCTTGAATCAGCAAAATCAAAACAAAGGGCTTTGAAACAGCCTCAAAACATATCGAGGCTAGTTGAAACATTTTGAAAGTTTCAAAACGTTTCAAGTTTCGAAGCAGCCAGCAGCCAGGTGATGGGAGACAGGGGAGAACCAGGGCTGCACTCCCAGCAGCTCCACAGCCCCATGTGGCTCAGCCAGGTGGGGAGCACAGCCCTGGCTCTCCCCTTCCTGTGGCCAGGCTGCAGGAAGCTGATCTCAGTGCAAGGGAAGGCAACTCAGCCCAGCTGAGCTGAGTTCCCCTCCGCAGCGCTAGGATCGAAAGGAAAGTTGCCTTCCCAAGCTTGATTGTAGCACTGGGGAGGGGAACTCAGCTCAGCTGGGCTCAGTTCCCTTCCCCAGCCCAACTGTAGTACTGGGGAGGGGAAACTGAGTGATTGGGCTCAGTTCACTTCCCCAGCTCCCTGGTCCCAGGCAGCAGCACCCAGCTTCCCTTCCTCATCTGGCAGGCAGATTGGGGGCCTACAACCCCAGGAGGACTGGCACAGCCCCCACAGCCCTCCCGGGGTTGTGGGTCCCCAATCTGCCTGCCAGATGAGAGAGGCTTGCCTGCCAGATGAGAGAGGCTGTTTTGAGATTCCCAATTATAGCCTATGGGCGAAACGTCAAAACAGAATCCAAACAGGGTCACTGTT